GCAGAAGTCCCGTGGGCAGCCGGCACAAGGGCTCTCTGGCAAGCAGTCCAGGCTCGAATATCCACTTTTTCCGCCATGTTCACAGCCATACTGGTGTTATGGTGAATACCTTGGCCGATGCCCTTGCTACCTGGGCGCTGACCTGTCGGGACGGCGGACCTTTGCGCTCCGCTGGCTGGAAGGAGACCTTCAGCACCATGGCCCCTTGGCTCTGGCTTATCCCCCGGGCGACGCTGAGAGAAGGACGACCGTGCTTCTCACTTGCCATTGGGGACGTTAACTGGATCCCTGGCGCTGCACAGTCAGGAGACGACCCCCAGGAGGTCAGCAGCACACCCCAGCCTGTTCCGCTTTGTGTTGTCACTGCGAACATTCAGTCCATTAAGGACTCTCCCTGTAGCATCTTTAATCCCTCGGGTCACGCAGCCCGTCGACAGTTCCTCATGGGGCAGGCTAGCACGCTAGGCATGAGCATCCTATGCCTCCAGGAAACTCGTAGCCGGGCGGGTCGATGGGCAATTGGAGGTTGGCTCACCTGGCGCTCGGGCGCTTGCAAGGGCCAATATGGTTGCGAAATTTGGGTCCATCCACGTGTGGTCTCGCCGCCCCTCCAGCTCGGGGACTGGCGCATTTTGCACAGCTGCCCACGCCTTCTGGTAATCACTTGTGTCGTTGACACTTTCCCCGTCACGATTTGCTCTGCACACGCCCCCCATGCTGAGAGGCCTGATGCGGAGGCTCAGGAGTTTTGGTCTCTTTTGTCTACCGCTCTACAAGCCGCGCCCAGACGTCGAGCCATTGTGCTAGGTATAGACGCGAATGGAGACTTTTGCTCTGCCGACGACGAAGGTGTCTTGGTCGGCACTCTGCTGTCAAACCAGGAACCATCACGCAATGACGAGTTCCTCCTCGAATTGTGCTTACGTCTCGGCCTGCATGCTCCAGCTACTTTCAATGACACGCAAGTTGGTGAAGGTTGGAGCTGGCAACATACCAGTCTCCGACGGAAGCGCCTTGATCATCTACTCTTCCAATCTGGCCCTTAGAAGGTGCAGCAGGCCAGCCAAGCACTAGCCTTTGATATTGTCAATGTGCAACAGGATCACGTGGCCCTGTGGGCCCGCACAGTGCTGCGGGCTCCCGCGCCTAGGGTACGACTGACCCAGCACCGTCGGTGCCTCCCGGCCGAAGTTCGTGACGGTGGCGATGCCATCTGGTCCCGCATCCCGAGGTGGGGGCAGCAGGGCAGCACTGCACAGGTCCAGCGCCTCCTCGAGGTTTACACAGGATGGAGGAAATCTCTGCCTGCGCGGGCCCCCTTGGTCCCTCGACAGCCATACATTCAAGCCCAGACTTTGCGATGTCTCAATCGGGTGCGGGACTGGAGGGCGCAGATACGTTTAGTGAAGCAGGACGGGCGACGCCTTCTGCTCGCTCTTTCCTTTGCTGGCTGGAAGCGTCGCGTTTTCGAGGACCGCGCGGCCCACCTTCAATGGCATCATCACCGGATGCTTGAGGCTGCTATGCTATCTCATGAATACAGCCTCAGTCGCATTGCCCACAACTCCGCCAAAAAAGACAAGGTGCGTCACTTTCTGCTACTCACGACGTCTGCAGTCGACCTGTGGCACAGCGAAGGGCGCGCCATGGAAGCTATCTCCAAACTCCGCTGGGCGTCTCGTCGTGCGGCGGAGCGACGAGCGGTCTACGCCGCTGGCGGCTATAACATTGAGAGTGAGTTGGAGGAACAGTTTCGGGCCCAGGAAGGGGGCCGGGCAGTGACTCCGGACCAGATTCATGCTGCTCAGCTCTCCTGGGCGAGGTCTGAAGCCACCAGTTGTCCCCAGGCGGTCCCGACGCTCCTTCAAATGGAATCAGCTTGTCGAAGGCAGCAGGGGGGGAAAGCGCCCGGGCCCGACCTTGTACTCAACGAGCTTTGGCGCCACTTCCCGGCACACGCAGGGATTTGGTTTTGGCAGATCTGCACCAGTGCTGCGCTCACAGGCCGTGAGCCGCCCCAGTTCAAACTAGCGCTGATTTGCGCCCTTTACAAGAAGGGCCCCGCGGCCTTGCCCCAAAACTACCGCTCCATCGCGCTTATGAATGGTATGGCAAAAGTGTACCATGGGCATTTACGTCGTGGCATCGGGCACTCGATCTTGCATCAATACCAAGGCCTCCAGTTGGGAGGGCGACCCGGAATGCCGGTCCATTTTGCTGTGACCGCCTTTCGGTGCGGGTGGTCCTTAAGCACTGAGGTTCAGCGTAGTGTTGCGGTACTGTTTGTGGACATTCGTGCTGCTTACTATGAAGCGAACCGGGACCTCATTTTCGATGGGGGCAATCTATCCTGGACGCCGGGCGCTCACCGTCTGCAGCACCTGGGGGCGTTAGCTGACCAGTTAGGCCGCGAAGGAGCACTGCAGCTTCTTGGGGTTCCACCTGAGGAAATCGCCCTGCTCAAGGACTGCGTCGCGTGCGCACACTGGCACTTGGCAGGTTCGGATAGGCTTTTCCTTGCTACCCGAGGGTCTAGGCCAGGGGATGGGTTAGCTGATATTCTTTTCGGCTCGCTCTTTGCCATCGCACTTCGCCATATCGAGGTCACCTGCCAGCAGGAAGGCCTTGCCTGTCATGCCGCTTGTGTCGCCTCGGGTTCCATACCGCGACCATTGCAAGTCGGATGGGCTGATGACCTGGCAGTCATCACCGACTATGCTAGCCCCCGCGAACTGCAGCAACTCTTCCCAAGGGTTGCAGAGATTGTTATCGATACATTTCACGCTATGCACTTCTCTGTGAACCTGGGAGCAGGGAAAACAGAGGCACTTCTGGATATCAGAGGTGCTGATGCTAAAGCTGTGCGCGGGGAGCTGCTCGGATCCGCGACGCCATTGCTCCTTCCCAACGGTGCCGAGTTGCGACTCACCCCGGAATATAGGTACCTCGGTGTTGTTCAGCACCCTAAAGATAATGGCCGCAGGGACATCGAGCTTTGTGCACAACGAGGACGGACTGCTTGGGCCCATGGCCGCAATTTGCTTAGCGGGGAGGCCCTGCCTTGGGCGTTACGGCAAGCATGGGTAGCCGGCAGGATCCTCCCGGCTGCGTATGCGACGATTGCCACGTCTGTCGCGGTCTCTGATAGAGCCACTGCGCCTCTACAAGGTTTGTTTGAGCGCCTTGCTAGGGTAATTTGCAGCTCCTGGAGGTTCGGCCACCACCTGCACCGTTCGGTTTTGTTTTGTCTCCTTGGACTTGCAGCTCCAGAGCATGCGGTTGCGATTGCACGTACCCGGCTGGTTGTCCAGCTCGTTGATAAGGCTCCCGCCGAGGTGTGGTCTCTTTTTGATGCTGCGTGGAATCACTCTGTGCCTTGGTGCGAGATTTTGGCGGATGCATGCAAGCTTGTTGCTCGCAATGTCGCTGGAGCATGCCGGCAGTATGTCCCTACTGCCCTCGCCTTTGTGAGGGAGAATAAGCGGGGGCTTCACAAGGCCTGCAAATTCCTCAGTCGTTGGGGTACACTGCAGTGGTCTTTCTGGGCCCTGTGGCAAGCTCTCTCCGGGCCCAAGCAAAAGCGTGTCCTCGGTTCTGCAACCCCCCACACATGTGCCATTTGCAATGCGGTCCTTCCCAGCGCCCACGCGCTTGCTGCGCACGTCCATCGTAAGCATTCAGTTGTTAACTGGCTTACTCGCTTCACACACGGGACTGTGTGTCTCTGGTGTCATACCGAGATGCAATCCACTGATAGACTTAAGTACCATCTGCGCACCTCTCCACTTTGTGTCCATGGACTTCGGGTCACAGTTGGCGAGGTGTATGAGTATGGCACTGGGACACGCCGGGGCGGTCCCCGACGTCATCGTGGCATCCCGGCGATAAGGGTCCCCGGCCCTTGCAATGCCACCCCCGCACAGCGCCGCGCTTCGCAAGAAGGGAGACTCTGTTCTGATGCTGAGCTCGCTCAGGAACTGCATGCAGTCACTGGAGCTTGGAACCCTTTTGACTGGCCGGTCCCCCAGCCCAACAATGGGATCGGCAATCGGGGGCCTTTGGTTGCACCCGCTGGAGCCCATGCCGCACTCCACCACCCCGCTGGAGATGGTGACGCCGGTAGGTCTGTTACTCGCGGCAGTCGCCCTGATGGCGTTCCGCGGTTGGCCGCACACCCTGAGGGTCATTTGTCCTCGTGTCACTGGCGATGTTTCTTTGATTACTCTGAATCCGCTGAGGCTTGGCACGTACCATCCCCCCTGTGGTCTGCCTGGTCTTGGTCTTTCTCTCATGTTGTCTGGCAGCTTCCCAGGTCGTGGCACCGTTTCTGGGGGTGCTGGAACGCTGCTGATCTCTCCCATCCTTGGGACGCCGCTGCCACTCGTGCTTTCCGGACCTTGCGCCTGAGCGCCTCCGTGGACTCCTCGTCCTCGCGTGAGCCGCCCGTTGCATTGCAGTGCCTGCTGGCTGCTACGGTTACGTTGCGCCAGGTGTGCGCGCGGGTCTGTGCTGGCGGTGCCCTCTGGCTCTGGGGTGTGCCTGGCCCAGATGGTCTTGAGCTGCTCCGCAGGCTGCTCCCTCGGGCTCTGTTTCGGACTGCCCACCTTCCTGCTGGCTCGCTGTTTGCTGCACAGCATCCCGCATGCCCGGCCGCTTGGTGGTCTGATCTTCATGCCCTGTGCTCTCCCCTGCCCTCGGGCCGTTCTCCCCCGGTCCGCCCTTTGCGAGCCTCTTTCATCTTTCGCACGGAGTCGCTGGGTCGCGCCTAAGGTGCTTCTCGCCTCCGTGCCTTTTGTTGAGTTTGCCCGCGTCGTTCCATAGCGGTTCGCGCTTTTCGGGCTGCACGTTTTAGGTTGCTCCGGACTCGTACCGATCAGCAGTGAAGTGAAGTGAAGTGAAGTTTAGGGTTGGGTCTCCGTTGTCCATACAAGAGCACGTGTAGCTTCTAAAGCATACGCACGCCCTAAACCACTATGTAACCCCAAACCCACAACGGCGAGGTGCCTTTCTCCCCGCAAGTGCTGCAGCGCGCCGGCTTCGTGCGGGCGAAGTCGGTGGTGATTTATCAGCGCGCCAGCCGGATGCGCTTTCACCTTTAGGGTTTGGGGTTCAGGGTTTAGGGTTTAGGGTTTCGGTTAATTTGGAGGTCCATTTTTTGAATAGGGTTTCAGGGGTTTTATACATACACTCTTGAGCTAAGGTTTCAGGTAGTTTGAGAGAGTTGTTTCTGTGTTTCTGGGTTTATAGTGTCTTTCATGGCTTGGTCTTGTTAAGCTTGGAGACTCGGAGATGAGCCGCATGTTTATACACGCCCAAACCTACAGCCTAAACCGCCTGGACCCTAGGTTGCCTAGATCCCAAACCCCAAAGGTCCAACGCACTTAAAAGACTTCTTCACTTCACCTCTCTGTGTCAAGGTCCAAAGGGTCTGTGCAACTACTGGCAGCCCCAAAAGCGACGAAGTCGGGGGCTTGCAAAACCGGGGAACTTGCCGCCCCAAACCTGCAGATACGGTTGATGATATAAATCCTGCATTACCCATAATAAGGAATATACCATAATTCCCATAGCTTAGGCTCCTTAAGGTAATGCAGGATTTATACTTCTTATGGGTAATGCAGGATTTATATCATCACCAAAAGGCACGGCCGTGGGGGGTAGTAAGGAAACTCACGGAAGCCACCAGATTGTGCAGCGGCGCAGAGTGAGAAAAGAAGTGCCGAGTAGCCGCCTGTGACAGCACAAGGCAAAGACTGGCAACACTTCAACTTGGAGGATCATGGGACTTAGTAAGTATGGTTATAAGTACCTTCATTGGGCTTATAAGTAATTATAAGTATAGTTACCTTAACTATAATCCTAGTTACTAAATCCCATGATCCTTTAAGAAGGCACTCCGATCAGACATCTACATGGCTCCATGCGACTCAAAGTGACACGTCTTCACCTGCCCAATGCCTCCAACCCAGTGGGCAGCACGTTGAACCCTAAACCCTAAACCCTGCACCTTAAAATTCCATTTAGACAAAGTCAATCTGTGGAGCGATGAAACTTGACCACACACGCACTGAAGCAGCCAGGGCCTAGTAAAGAAGTTAACACCAGGATCCTAAACCCTAAACCCTAAACCCCAAACCAGGACCAGTGGGAAGTGTGCCCAAATGCCGTCATCCACCTGCCTGGCCCCTGCCTGTGCCTGCAGCAGATCTTTGACATCACGAGCACATGCCAGTACCGCCAACCATGCTTCCCCCCACCACAAAGAGCACCACTATACTTGAAGGATCATGGGACTTAGTAACTAGGATTATTATTGGGGTAACTATACTTATAGTTACTTAAAGCCCCAATTAAGGGACTAATAACCATACTTACCAAGTCTCATGATCCTCCAAGTATAGGGGCAGGAAGGAGGCCCGAGGTCCTCGCATGCTTGCGCGAGCATGCCACTTTGCCCCTGCTGGCCTCCTCCGCCCAAAACCCATGCCTAGGATGCCCAGTAGTACCCTTATTCCCTTTTTGTAGTCCTAGGTTCCTTATAAAGGTACCCAATACCAAAAAGGGAGCCCTTTTAATTCCCAGGTTACTGGGCATCCTAGATGCCAAAAGAAAGGCCAGCTGAGCGAACAGTGACCCTTCACCCCGAGAGAGCCACAAAATGTCAGATCGCCTCGAGCGCCCTGACTGTCGCGCGGGAGACACACTATACTTGGAGGATCATGAGACTTAGTAAGTACGGATGTAAGCACCTTAATTGGGGTTATAAATAATTATGAGTATAGTTACCTTAACTATAACCTAGTTACCAAGTCCCATGATCCTTTAAGTAGGAGATTCACGTTGGGATCTGGCCATAGCTAAAGTCGTGGGCACAGTTCCGCCGAAGCCCGGGGCTAACAGCTTGGCAGCCGAGACGCCTACTTAAAACCCGAAACCTTAAACCCCAGATGCAAAAGCCTAAAGCCTAAACCCTAAATCCCAAACCGTAAACCCTAAACCCTTAAACCACGCCCTAACTCCCAAAGCCCTAAATCACCAGAAGCGTCTCTTCTCCAGAGAGCCCAATACTCCTTAATTAAGGAATATGGCTTAAATCATGGTATGAATCCCTATATAATTTAAGCCATATTCCTTAATCAAGGGGTATTGGCTCTCTGGGTCTCAGGATGTCACGAAGTGCACGGATGCAGCGCTGGTGGACTCAAAGGCTCCGTGCCCAAACGGTTTTCAACGATTCCTTAGGTTCTCGGGTTTAGGGTTGTGGGGGCCCCTTGAAAGGGATCTATTGGGGGCCCTCTAAAGGGATCGATAGGGTTTAGGGTTTAGGGTCTGGGATTTTTGAGGGTCTAGGGTTCAGGGTTGGCGCCACTACATAGCTACGGCATCATATACCCCCGCAGCCCTACTGGGTAGTCTAACCATCCAGACGACCTCTTTAGCGGTTAAGTTTTCAGTGTTCGAGGTGCAGCAGCCCCCCCCCCCCCCCACGAAGCATCGAAGTTTGGTCTGACGCCGAAGTGTGGCGCCACCCCCAGGGTTGAGAATTTTGGGGGTCCCACGGTTGAGGGTTCAGGGTGCAGGGTTGAGAGTTTAGGCTTCCGGGTGTGGAAACCGCTACCCTCAAACCTGAAGGCATTGCCAACTCTGACATCCTGCATCCCTTATTCCCGAAGCTGCCCCCATCAAGACCCCAGTGCGGGGAACACGCCCCCTCCACCATCAATGCTAAACTCTGGCGACTGGACCTGTGCCGTCAGAACGACAGACAGCGACTGAACTCTAAACCCGAAATCCCTAAACCCTACACCCTAAACGCGAAATCCCTACTGAATCACCGGCCTGGTAACTTTCAAAGCGTACAACCCCCCTCCAGCCCCAAAGTTCATCATAAAAGGGTCTTTAAACTAGGAGTGGGTTTGATTAGGGATATTCCTTTCCTAGAATTCCAATCAGCAATCGTGCAACTTACTCTTCTGGCTTCTAGACAACCCCTTATATACTCCATTATCGCAGCCCCTCAAGAAGCCCTGGTAGAAACCCTTGTGATAGGAACTCGATTAGCTTGAAGAACCATCAGGCCATCTTTGCACAGCGGCTGGTGGAAGCGCTGTTGCATGATGCAGGCCAACCCCCGGGGCTTTGGGATTTAGGGGTTCGGGGTTTAGGGGTCTTTTCTGGAAGTGTTTGAGGGGCGGGGAGTCTGGACAGCACCCGAAACCCTAAGCCCTGAAACCCGAAGCCCTAGTGTAGAGTTGTAGCTGTTCATCAATGCTGTCTCCTTGTTTCCTTGGTATGGCGGTACAATATACCACCTAAAACCCTAAACCCTGCACCTTAAACTCTAAACTCTATCATTCTGGCCCCAGGCCATTAGGACACGAAAGCATACCACAGAAAGTGGGGTTGTAAGTAGGCATTCAATACTGTCACCCTTTTGGGAGCCCTGCTTGACTTTTTCCTAGGCAATATTAGGGAGACGTCTTAAACGGCACCCTTCGCAAACCTGCTTCTGGATCGCTTAGAAGGGACCTTATTGAGAGGGTCTATATCCTCAAGGGTCCCCCGAATCCTACTGTTGATGGACAATTTCCTGCATGACCCTACGGATTCTAAACTATGGGAACTATGGCATATTCCTTATAATGGGCAATGCAGGATTCTGTCCATCAACAGTACCTCCTAAACCCGCTAGTTTCTTAAACCCCCGGATGCCAAAGACAGGCCTCGCCCTGAACCCTGAACCCTGAACCCTAAAACAGAAGCTACTTGGAGGGGCAGGGGACTTAGTACGGGTTCTTAAAGGGCTCCTTATAGATATGTATAGGCTTCCTTAAAGGGATCTGTGGGGTTTAGGGTTTAGGGTCTACTTGGAGGGGCAGGGGACTTGGTAAGTAGGTTATAAGTAGGGTTTTAAGTGGGGCAACTCCATTTCGGGTACCTTTAACTCTACTTATAACCTACTTACTAAGTCCCCTGCCCCTCCAAGTCGACCCTATACCCTAAGCCCCAAAGATCCCTTTAAGGAACCCTATAGATCCCTTTAAGGAGCCCTTTAAATCTTGGGAAACCAGCACGCCCATGAGACCCTGCGCGCCCTGAGGTTCGACTCGTACCCAGAGCCTACTGCAACCCAGAGCCTGGACCTTGAGCACGCTACCCTAAGCCTTACCTTGACCTACCAAAACCTACTTTTTTGTGGGGCCCCTATAAATTCCATATTAGGGTTTATAATAAGAACCTACAAAAAAGTAGGGTTTGGTAGGTTAAGGTACAGACCCTGAAACCTAAGCGCAAAAGCCTAAGCCTCAAACGTCCAACGCACGGGCTTTTCTTTAACCCGGAAGTCATATCTAGCCCTCGACACCCGAATCGTCTTAATCTTGAAGGGCTGGCCTGCCACACACCCTTACTTCGAAGTACCCGGTGGTCGTCACAGGCAGGAAGAATGTGCCGGTGATCATGCACATTCACCTGGAGGCGATGCTATCCCATCCCCGGAGTTCGGATTGTGAGTTTCGAGCTTAGGGTTTTGGCTGTTGGGGTTTGGATTTGGGGTTTAGGGTGTTGAAAGGCGTATGGTGGGATGTAGGGTTTTGGGGCTTTGGTTTTGGGGCGTCGGATTTGGGAACTTGAAAGCCGGATCCCCGAAAACCGTCAGAGGTTCGTAAGAAGTAAGAGGGCTCCTATATTACTGCTGATGGACAAAATCCTGCATGACCCTTAGGACTCTAAACTATGGGAATTATGGCATATTCCTTATAATGGGTAATGCAGGATTTTGTCCATCCGCCGTAGGGCTCCTTACATGGATCCAAATATTCTTGGGCTATAGGACCAGAGTTCTTTTAATCAGCTTCCGACATTAAGGAGGAGATCGGTAGTTGTCATTTGGGTAGGCTTTTTGGAGATTTTCATGATCTTCTGTACGAATAATGGTCAAAGGCTGTGCAGAAGCAGCCTGGTAGTTCTTTTCGACTACAGGCGGGTTGAGGGTAGCAGGGTTTAGGATTCAGGGGTTCATCATGTCCTCCAGGGGCCTGAATAATTGGTGATATTGTTCCTTAGCGGGAAATGAACGCCGTACCGCCCCTCACCTCCTGAAGTTTAGGGTTTAGGGTTTGGGTTTGGGATTCGGGAATCCTGAAACCGAAACTCCGAACCCCTTAACTATGTGTTTTCTTTTGTTTGGCCTATTTGGGTTATGGGTTTACAAGGATATCCAGAACGATGCGCTTTCTTTTTTGCATGGTTGAAAGGGGAATGGAGCGACACTGGATTTGTCTTGCACGATTTCTTGAGGGGAACTGAGCAACATTGCGTTTTTTTTCTTGCATGGTCTCTTAAGTCTTATAAGGAGAATGGAGCAACAATGCGTTTTTCTTGAATGATTCCGAAGGGGAATGGAACAACAATGCTTTTTTCTTGCGTGGTTTCTAAGCGGAATGGAGCAAACCCTAAACCCTAAACCCGCAAACCCCAAACCCTTAAACCCAAAACCCTAAAGTATCCTTTGAAGGGATGCCCTGAAACCTAAAACCCTGACCAAGTCCCTTCAAATGGATGCTTCTGGAGACCGAAAAATGAGGAGTCTATAGGATTTTAGGGTTTAATGCCACTGCAAAAAGTGAATGGATATGGATATTCCTTAGTGAAGGGGTTTTGGAGTCTGTCGGGCTCAGCACAACAACCGGGAGCAGCTAAGACAGCCTAAACCCTAAGAAACAAGATACGGTAACAACGTACATAACCCCCAAATACCAAACGTGACGAAGCGAAAGAACAGGAACCGTGAAAGACCAAGCTCTGAACCCTAAATCCTGACACTCAAGAGGATCCCAAACAAGAAAAGTAACAACCAACAGAACCATAACTACCCTAAACCCTTAACCCTAAACCAAAGCAAGATAAAGCAACCCTAAACCCCACACGCAGGTGAACACAGAGCTCATGACGGAGACCTCGGAGCCCAAGAAAGCTCAAGGCTTCCCTTGCTTGCTTGGTGTAATGTATGGCTTAGAAGGGGGCCCCACCCTGTAATAGTGGTATAATAGGAAAAAATAGGGCCCTAATATCTTCCTTACAGTCACTATTACAGGGTGGGGGCAGCTTCTAATGTAGGGCCAAAATAATTGCCTAGATTATTTTGGTGTTGTTTTGGAATTATAGTATAGTGGGTCCTAAAAGCCTTTTCGAATTGCTAAGGCCCCTACAGTATCTCTTGCTATTCAGGGCTCAGGTACCTAAACCCTAAACCCGAAACTCTAGGGTTTAGGGTTTCAGGTTTCAGGAATCTTAGAGCTTTAAGGGAGTTTAGCGAAGCCATAGTTGTATATGTGGGTGTTGGTGGGTTGCCACGAGGGTTCTGTAAGGTTTGGAAGAATACATGAGGTTTCTGAGGGTTTATAGGGCTGTACACGGCGGGTTCTGTAGGCTTTTTCAGGGATTTTATTTCTTTTCGCAAAGATTCTACAGGGATGTCATGTAGACACCTGGAAAATCTCACCCTCTCCCCGGGTCGAAAGCCTACACCTCCAAGTTGTAAACCTTAAACCCCCGAACCCTAAACCTCGAAACCTCTAAACCCTGAACCCCTAGAGCCCTAAGCCTCAAACCCTAACCCCTAAACCCTAAACCCAAACCATAAACCCCTCAACCCTCAACCCGAGGCTGGAACCATTGAGACCGTGGGCTTCGGTTTTTCGGGGGGCTTTTGGTACAGGGTCTAGCATCTAGGCTTCAGGATTCAGGGTTTAGGGTCTATGAATTAGGGTTCAGCGTTTTGGGGCTTAGAATTCAGAGCCTATTTCGGTAATTAGTAACGGGGTTTTTTAGTACCAGCAGTACATAAGGAGATCCTACAGGAGACGGTTAGCAATGTGTAGACTACAAGCTTGTGTGTTCTGCGCAGATACGTCAAGAACCCTGAGAATAATATCAGTAGCCTTGAAAACACTATCCTTACTGATTCAGACCGCACCCTACCGAGCGTGCAGTCTGTAGAAACCGAGTGTATCTAGCTCTTCGATGCCACAGGTTGAGAAGTTTCGGCTTCTTAGAACTTTGCATGTATCTGAAAGTCTCAACTTCCACTTGATTGATACAGGGAAGTAAGTATATTAACGCTACGCCTCATATCTCAAACCCTAAACCTTAGCCCCTCAACCCAAAGCCCTAAACTCTTAGCAGTGTAAGTATACATTCCAGAATGCAAACTGAAAGGATTGTTGGAGATGCTCGAGTCCAAGAGGGGCGAAGAGGAGGAAGAGGAGCTGCCTTCGATCTTTGGCGTTGTGTTTTTGGAATGTAGGGTTTGGGGTTTAGGGAGGGGGTTTAGTGTTACAGGGGGTGTTCATGAGTTTCTACATCGACATGGATTCGATGTGTTTTCTTGGGAATTTCAAGGGCTCTTAATGGGTTCTCTAGTGGATTTAGAAGCGTCTTCGGTTTCAGGGCGGAAGGGCTTGGGTTCCCGGGTTTAGGGTTTGCGGTTCCAGAGATTCGGGTTTCAGGATCGAGGGTTTGGGGTTAGTTTAGCTTTTGGGTGGCATATGCCCTACATAGTCCCGAAAATCTTGGTGTCTTGAGGCTTCGGATCTCGGATTTAGCGTGTCGTACGCATTATTCTGTTCTTGTTGCTGTCGTGGAGGCTTCGATCGAGTTCGGTTTGTGTTTATCAGAGCTTGCCCATGCACATACATACATACATGCATACATAGGTACATACATACCGGTAAGCACGGAGCCCAAGCCCCGCATTGGACCCGAAACACTAATTAATTAAACCCTAAACTCTAAAACCTGAGCCGCTAAACTAAGGCCTGTTATAAGCCCCTGAACCACTAAATCCTAGACTCCTAAACCCTCCTAAATCCTAAACCTCCGAAACCTTCCAACAAAAAGGGACCTTATAATTGCCTGCACTATTTTGGGGGGTTCCTTATTTTGGTTGTACTGTAAAGGCCCCTTTTCTGGGCCCTTTACAGAAACCCTAATTGATCCTACACCAAAACCGTCACATTTGGAGGATACCGGTGGGCCCACGCGGAACGTCGAGGCTGAGGTCTGGTGCTGCGGTGTCAGATTCAGAAATATGAGGGTCTAGTTCAGGGTGTATACATGTATTTCTATATATATATATATGTATGTATATAATTAGAGAGATACATAGATAGAATGATAGATAGAAAGATAGATAGGGTTTAGCAGTATAGGCGTCGGAATAATTCATAATACCGTTCCGACCCTTCATCTTTTCAGATTATATAACTAGTATTACTATTCACAAGGTATGATGACCATACTATATTATACGGCCTAAACCCCAAACAGTTGCATCCCAAAAGGATCCCTGCATTCAGTGAAGGGCTCCACTAGTCTGGCGACTCCGACACCCCGGGCCCCCGAAACCGCCAACGCCAAACGCCCGGAACTCTTGACGAAACCCTTAACACCATCCCTTAAAGGGTTTAGGGTTTAGGGTTTAGGGTTTAGGGTTTAGGGTTTAGGGTTTAGGGTTCTAGAATAGGGTCCCCCTTAAATGGTACAAAAGGGTTCTAGAGTAGGGTCCCCCTTAGAGGGTACTTTAGGGTTCTATGGCAGGGTGGACCCTTACAAGACTCGTTAACGCATTCCTCGTAAAGGATCCTAAAGCCTTGTTTGCACGTGTTCGGATGTACCGAAAACAGGGCAGGTTGAGCCGGACTAATCAACACTATTATTCGTCAGGGCCCCTTAGTATACATCCATAATATACACCCAAACCCTATTCTAATGATTAAGGCCCCCCCTCCTCCCATTTTAGGAATACTAAGACCGAAAAGGCAACATCCGCAGGATTAAAGGTTCGGGTTGAGGGTAAAGGGCTGCTTGGGGTTTAGAGTTCCGCGTTTGGGCCTGGAATTTGAAGGTTTAGGGCTTTGAGTTTGGCTTTTGGGGTCTGGGGTTTAGGGCTCAGGGTTTAGGGTTCAGAGTCTAGGGTTTAGGGGTTCAGGGTTTCGGGCCGGGTGTTAATCCCGTATGGAACGCCAACAGGAGATGCAGCAGATCATTCTCCAGCATCGTCGCTTGGCCTTTGCAAAACAACCTAAACGAAAGAACCTCAAGAATCTCAAGAAGACCGGCCAACCCCTGAACCGAAACAACGAACCCGTAACCGAACACCCCAAACCTCAAAGCCTAAGCCTCAAGCCCTAAACCCTATGTCCTCAACCTTAAACCGAATCGCCATTCCGTCTTCAGCCCCTACAATCAGACGATGACAGTCTTGGTGTAAGAGGGCTCAGGGCTTCTGCTGCTGCAAGGATCTTGAGTTTCGGGTTGTGGGTTAAGGGTTCGAGGTTTAGGATTAGAGTTTAGGGTAGCCATTTGTTGCTTTCAGGTTTGAGGGTCGTGTGGCTTTGGGATTTGGACTCAGCTTTCAAAACTTAAGCCCAAGAGATCAACCCTAAAACCCTGAAGCCATGTCCCCTTTTCCTTAAACCCTAGGCCCTAGCCTAGACCCTAAACCCCTGTCCCTAAACCCGAACCCTAAAACCCTGAAGCCCGAAGCCCATATCCCTAATCTCTTTGATTCCTAACGGGGTCGTCCAGATGACTTGGCTCAACGATACCGATGATGATGAACAGACACTAGGATGCCCAGTAGTAACCTTATTCCCTTTTTGTATGAAGTTACCCTACCGAGAAGAGAGGCCTTTTCATTCTTAGGTTACTGGGTATCCTAGGACAATGCAGGCGCGAGGCGGTATATAATGCACTCTGCGAGCAAACGAGCCTTACTCTTGTGGAGCTCTTCAATAACTCCAAAACTGAGTTTTGGTTTTCATTACGGCATCCGATGTAAGTTACCAAAGTATCAGCATAGGAAGCAAAAGTAACAGATTTGGATTTCTTAATATGGCAAATTAAATGAACTCCTTAGCAAGATCTCCGACAATCCTCGAGGCTTCGCTAGCGGAATGCTGATGAGCTCGAATCTTCTGACCTGCCTGATGGCCAATGCAGCTTGGACCATCTTTGGGCGGCTCTTGCCCGCAAACCCTGAACTCTACCCCTCCTTCAACCCGAATGAAGCCCACGGTTTAGGGTTTCAGGATTAGGGTTCAGGGTTTAGGGTTTAAACCCTACACCCTAAGCACTACACCCTATATACACTCTACAATCTCTAAACCCTACGCCAAAACCCTCAACCAGCACGCTAAAGACTAAACCCTGAACCCTCAACCCTACACCCACAGCTCTCAACTATACATTGGGTACGGCCCCCACTCAATAACAGTTGGATAATGTTCATAATATAGATATATAAGGCCCTTAATAGTAGCCCTATTATAGTCTGTTACTGTATGGGGGTCGTACCCTAAACCTAAACCCTAAACCCTAAACCCTAAACCCAAACTCTACACTCTAAACCTGAAGCCCTCGCGACCTCTCGCTACGATGGGCTGAAGGTTAGGCAGTTTCGGGTTGGGGGCCTAAAGGCTTATAGGGTTCCTTTAAGGGGATCTATAAGGATACCTTTAAGGGGCTCCTTCAAGGGATCTATAGGCTTTAGGGTGTAGGGTTTAGGGATATAAATCCTGTATTACCCATAAAAAGGAATATGCCATAATTCCCATAGTTTCGGGTCCTTAAGGTAATGCAGGATTTATATCATCAACCATAGGTTCGTGAGTTCTAGCTTTCAGGGTTCGGGGGCATAGGGTTTCAGTTGTAGGGCGTGGCTTGCGCTGCAACCTTCACAGCGGAGGTTGTGGTTGGGATTCGGGTATGAGCAGTATGGGAGTTTCCGAAAACAGGAAACCCCAATATAGTCTCCTAACTAATAGGATCCTTATTATAAGGAACCCCCCCCCCCCAGTTTTCGGAAACTCCCGTATCAGTGCCCCGGACAATTAGAAAGTACGCTTGAATAAGGGATCTAGTTTGCTACTTCATATAGTCATAGCATAGAATCCTGCACAACCCCCTTCAGGCACCTCATCGTGGCTTGATTCCTCAGCGATTTCCCACTTGTGTCAGCTTCTTCGGAGCAGTGGTTACGGGCACGTATTGGATGGGTCTGAAGATCGTTTATGACTGGCTTAGCATATGACCCCACCATCCAAAGCACGATTCTTCCCGTGCACTCCCAAAACCCCAGACACAAACCCTAAACCCGTGCTACAGCAAGCCTAAACACTTCGTAGCATTATATCCCTTATGGTCCGCATATGATTACGCTATAGTATACCACCCAAACCCTGTTCTAATCATTGCCATAACACTAAACCCTAAACGCCGAAACTCTAAACCTCAAATCTGAAGACCTACGTCCTAAACCCTAAACTCTACGCCCGTAACCCCAAACCCTAAACCCAAAGCCCCAAATCAGGTTATGTTCCAGCCCTCCTTAGCCGCTGTCATCGATGAGATGTCCAGGGTGGCCAGATGGGTTCAGCTGTTTTGTCAAAGGTTTTTTGGGTTTAGGATTGAGGTTTAAGGCTTAGGGTTGAGGGTTTGAGATTTGGAGTTGGGGGTTTCTGGTTTTGGAGTTTAGGATTTGGGATTTAGGCTTTAGCGTTTACAAGTTGGAGTGGGTTTGTCATAGGATCGCCTTTTTATGGTTTGCTTGTGGTCTCACAGAGGTGTTTGCATAAATAGACAACTTGTTCCTAGATCTCATTTCTTGCAGAATCCGCGGTAGAAGAACAACTTTTGAATCTTTGAAATCCGCTTTCCCAGACCCCAGTATATATTCTCTTTGCGATATTGCTGTTTTACCGATGCTGCTCAGGTGTCTCGCATCTGTGAGACGTTTATCGACACTTTCATGGCTGTTGTTGCAAACATTGAATAACATTGAATATGGCTTGGCGTGTACCTGAACTCTGTGAGTTGTTCTTTGGTTTACGGCTCTTTTGTTTCAAGCACCATTACCCTCCATTTCGCTCTCCTGGTTCATAAGTACCATCCCGAATAGCATGCTACCGGTCATGAGTTCTCTTGATGGCTGCCAGCTACCAGCAGTGAGACTGTTGATGATATAAATCCTGCATTACCCATAATAAGGAATATACCATAATTCCCATAGTTTAGGGTCCTTAAGGTAATGCAGGATTTATACCATCAACCGTAGTGCCACTGCTTTCGCCGTCATCACTATTCCGGCTAGGATTCTGGCTGACTTGAGGTGAAACAAATGTGAAACCCTGGATTACATCCGATGATTACATCCGAGGCCCGATAAGGCTTAAACCCGAAGCAGAATTCCCCGAAACCCTCGAACCTAAACCCTGAAACCCTTAAACCCTAAAGCCCTAAACCCTAAAACCCCAAACCCTAAACCCTAAACCCTCAAACCTAAACCCTAAGACCCTAAACCCTAAATCCCATTCGGCAGAAACTGCTAGCTTTAGGGGCTCCTGGTGTTTGATTGGAAGGAGTACGGCATTGGAACAAGGGTTCAGGGTTCTATACTAGATATCGTTTTGGGATAATTCCAATTTCCCTTATTGTTCAGTATAGAGCCCTAATTATAAATACTCTTACGGATTGTTGAAAAACCTAGTACAAGACTTGACTAGCTGAATTGTTATACATCTGGAGCCTTATGACCTGTGTGAAGTCTTAGCGCACAGCTGGTCTCAAACAGTAAACCGTCTGCTTGAATTGCCAAGGATATTTTGGGTGTTCCTTCTTAGAACTATAGTATGATGGGCTCCAACACCCTAGCCTAACTACTAAGGCCAGCGCCGTACTTGCAACTCTGGACCCTAACGCCCCATACCCGAAGCTCTCAAAGACAAGTTTGGTCACTCAGTGGATCCCCGTGAAGCCCTTCTTCAATCCACAACAAAGTCTTTGCAAGAAAACATCCGTAGATTTATTGAACCACAAAATAACGGCACTCAATCAGGGTTTAGGACTTTGGGTTTAGAGTTCAGGGTTCAGCAACCCTAGATTTTTCAAAACCTCCCCATTGAAAGCACTCCCGAAAAAATGCTCCAACATCCTCAGCAAAGCGCGCAAGCTCTTGTACAACCTTGATGGAACCCCATACCCAACCCTTTATAGAACCTGTTGAGCACGTTTACTTTACTCAAGACTCTGAACCCCTAAACCCTATGCCTTAAACTAACGGGGCAACTCTCAAAACAAAAAAACCCTAAACTAAACCCTAAATCCCTAACCCCTAAACCCCAAACCCTAAACCCTAACCCCCAAACCCTAATCCCCAAACCTTAAACCCTAAACCCCAAACCCTAAACCCTAAACCCCAAACCCCAAACCCCAAACCCTAACCCCCAAACCCTAAACCCTATACCCCAAACCCCAAACCCTAAACCCCAAACCCTAAACCCTATACCCCAAACCCAAAACCCTAAACCCCAAACCCCTAAACCCTGGACTCCTGCCAGGCGGCATTCACCGTCGTCGAGGTGCCTCCAAACTGGCGTGGGCTCACCTTCGGCCAGCTCTTCAGCCACGCGGCCTTGTTTTTCTGGAAACCCCAATTTAGTGCCATAATGCTAGAATTTGTGCACCCTCTGGGAAGGCATTTCGGGTTTCAAGCTTGCTGCGCTAAGGGATTACAGTTATAGCATAAGATACCCCAAAGCCCTATTCGAATTCTCAAGGCGCCTGTGTGAGTCTAGAGTTCCTCTACTAGGATGCCCAGTAGTACCCTTATTCCCTTTTTGTAGTCCTAGGTTCCTTATAAAGTTACCCAATACCAAAAAGAGAGGCCTTTTTATTTTTTAGGTTACTGGGTATCCTAGTCTAAGTGTCTGTTCGTATGCCAGCGTAGATGCCCCCACGCCGTGACGACCATGACGACCACATGCGACCAAGACGACCGCGACCACCAGGGCGAAACCAGGAGACCACGAGGAGCTCGAGACCAGGAGACTCCGGGAGAAAACGCAGCCGACTAAGCTGGTTCTCCGAAGTACTTAAAGGATCTTGGGACTTAGTAAATTTAAATACGGTTGTTATCAGGGCTGCTTGCTGCTTACAGTTCCTTATAACATAACCATAGTTACTATTACTAAGTCCCATGATCCTCCAAGTAGTGGCGGGATCCAGGCAGGGCCTTGATGCTTCCCCAAATACTGACTGATCAAGAGACACATAGCTGCGATTCAGGTTTCGAGATGACGGCCAAAATCCTTTCCCTAACGTACTGCGAGTCAGAGTTTCGATGGCAAAAGGTGGCCCGGCTTTTGGAATCGATCATGAATTTGGCTGCCTGACATGCGCGAAAGAGCCGTGTCCCGCTAAGCACTAGAACTCCGCTGGAACTCCATAGTGTAGGGGTTCAATAAGGGTTCCTTTAAAAGATCTATAGGGGATCTATACCATAAAGGCTACTATAAAGGGTTTAGGGTTAGGGTTAATGTGGCAACCTGATTAGGAAACCTTGGGCCATTATTAGGGTTCCCGGGGTCCCTTAACCAGGTTCCTACATTCGGGGTTCAGGGCTTCGGCTTTCGGGATATCTGTTTAGATCTATAGAGTAAACATGGTGAGACCGACATCTTACGAAGTTCCCTGGTGTAGACGAAGCACCAAGCTCTGCAATTACTGTACAGTGCATTCTAGAGCCCACGAGCTCTACTTAAAGGATCATGGGACTTAGTAACTGGGGTTATAATTAGGGTAACTATACTTATAACCCCAATTAAGGTACTTATAACCTTACTTACTAAGTCCTATGATCCTCCAAGTACCCTCGATTATCACAGGCTTCATGATGCGGAAGAGGATGCTCGGCTTTGTTCTCAGGATTTCTGGTGCAATTCTCAGAACTAGAAGTGCAGACTCATCAACATACCCATTGCACCATTCCCCAACCCAAACCCGAGTCTGAACGAAACCTGAACACACGCATGCCTCAAGACTCACGCCGTAAATCTGGATCGCAACTCTGTAACTCAGCACTGTCTTTTGCAGTAACTTGATGGATGTCTTTTCGAAGGCCAAAGCTCGGGCTTAAGGAACTCTCCAAAAGACCTGCTTCACATGACGGATTTGGGCTTCGGTGTTTAGGACTTGGGTTTGAAGTTTAGGGTTTTGGGTTTGAGCCTCAGGCTAAGGGTTTGGGGTTTAGGGCCTGGGGCTTGAGATTTAGGCATTGGGGTTTGAGTCAATCGCCATTGGTAGGAAGATTTTAACACCCTTACTTGGAGGATCATGGGACGTAGTAAGTATGGTTAGAAGTACCTTAATTGGGGTTATAAGTAATTATAAGTATAGTTACCTTAATTCTAACCCTAGTTACTAAGTCCCATGATCCTATAAGTAGGTTGCTTCCTCCAACAATTGCGCCAGTGCTTGGCTTTTGCTTCAGTCTACGGTTGAGGCTTTACTTAAAGGATCATGGGACTTAGTAATTACGGTTATTATTAAGGCAACCATGCTTATAATTACTTATAACCCCAATTAAGGTACTTATAACTATACTTACTAAGTCAGGACTTGGATCTTAGGCCACAGAAGAGAGGGTGAAGGCTTCAGGTGTTGGGGCCTGGTTGAGACAGATAGGTGGCTGTCAAAATTATGGTCCCTTTTTGGGTCCCTATCACAATACGGCACCTAATATTGGTACCCAAAAAGGCAACCACCCAGATAGATTCTCAAATCCATCGTGGTCGGGACTTTGGCAGGAACTAACTCCGAAGCCAACACTGAGGGAGCGCGGTGCTGAGAGCTTGAATGGTTTTCTGTTGTATGGCTCAGGTTTCGGGACTTCATAAGGTCTAATAACCTACCGGTAGAGTCCCTGTAACACCATACCACAAGATACCCAGAAAGCTGACCATGTTCGTGAAACCCTTGTATGAAAACCTAAACCCTAAACCCTAGACCCTAAACCCTCAACCCTAAATCCTAAACTCTAAACCCAAGGAACATGATGCCGATGGCCCTCCTCCGGAAGACGAACGCGCAGGACGCCTTGGACTTCATCGACAGCCCCCTCGCCTCAGTCAAACGTTTGGGCGGACTTTGGGGGTTTCAGGGGAGGTTTTGATGCTTGCGGGTTTTGTGGTTTAAGGTTTGGACACCCTAAACCCTAAGCCCTAGTTGAGGGTAGAGGGGCTGTGGTTTTCGAGGGTGTTCGCCCTCAAAAGCCTTATATGCCTAAGGTTTGGGGTTTTAGAGTTTAGGGTTGCGTGGTGTATGGTTCATGGTTTGAGGTACCGGGCTGATCCTGTCATCATGTCGCAATTAAATCATGGGTCCCTTAACCCTAAACCCCAATCCCAAACCCTAAACCCTGAACCCTATAACCCAAACTCTAAACCCTAAGCCCTAAACCCTCGTCAGTTAGCACAATCCTGACAGGTTGGCGTTGTGCGCAGTTCGGAAAACCGTATACAGGTCAACAGAGCCTCAGGACAAATCCCCAAAACCACACTGGCCTAAACTCGAAAACCCAGATCCAGTGCATTTCTGGCTCCTGTTTGCCAAGACTTGAGCCATTGGGTTTTGCGCTTGCCCTAGGGATTTAAGGACTCATATACGAAGGCTTTTGGGCCCAAAGACCATACTATATGTGAACCTGAATTACGGGCTTTTGGAGTTTATGGGTTGGATACCCCCGCCCCCGCTCTGTAACAGTTGAATAATGCATGCTCGCAGATACTTAAGGCCCTTTTGGGTAGCCCTATTATGATGTATGGGGGCTGTGCCCTATCAACTACGCTGGGTACCAAACTACAGGAACGATACCCTAAACCCTAAACCCTAAACCCTAAACCCTAAACCCGAAACCCTAAACCCTAAACCCTAAACCCTAAACCCTAAACCCTAAAAAGCCCTTAAATGATATGGCTGGACCCTGCAGGGCCTCTGGAGTCTATGGGTACCATTATAGACGGCCTTGGGAACCAAGGGCTTCTATGAGTAGGTACGGTTGATGAGAAAATCCTGCATTACCTTAAGGACTCTAAACCATGGGAGCTTTGGTATATTTCTTATTAGGGGTAATGCAGGATTTATCTTAATCAACAGGTGCCTCTTTTAGGTCCTTCTTTGAGGTTAAAGCTTAAGGTCAAGGGTTTAGGGTTTAAAGTTTAGGTTTTAGGGTTTCCATACATCGAATCTTGCATGTGGACTGTAGGGCTTCGGGACTTACGGTTTAGGGTTTAGGATCAAACCAGCAGACCCCGCAAGCGGGCTCCTATAAACTATCCTTTTGTTGTATAGAGTCCCAGTCTAGGAGATCTACTTTTGGATCCTTCCGGTGGTCTGGGTAGGGCATATATTGCCAAACCCTGAACCCTGAACCCTAAACCCTAGCTATGAAAAACCTAATCTCTAGACCCCCAAAGCCTGACGTAGTTCTTATGACAAACCCTGTACCCTAAACCCGATAACTTGGAAAACACACGAAACTCACCATAAAGCCTTTATGGAGGTCTCTTTCAAATCTAAGCTTGGAAGTATGGGCCCCTAATATGGACCCTTAGACCTTTTTGAGGGAGCTAGGGACCCTTAAGAGTCTATATAGGGTATACAGTGGGTATATAAGGATCCCAGGGTTAAGGGCCCATACTAGGGTCCCATGGTTCCAACCGTTGATCAAAAGCGATGTTGGATTTGAGGCTCCGTGGAAAGCCGTAAAGTGGAAGATCCCGCATCTCGAAGCAAAAGGCACGGGTTTAGGGTTTAATGCTTAGGATTTGTGTGTCCAAAAGAGGGTTCAGGGTTCAGGGATTCATTGGTTTAGTTATTTGACAAGAACTTTTCCGGTTTTTATCTTGCCTCTAGAAGGGTTCGACCGGTGTCGTGCTGTTTCGTGAGGGCGGGGGATCAGTATTGATGCTTAGGGTCTACGGTTTCGATATCCGGTTCTCATGATCGTCCTCATCACCTGCTTCCCGTATCAGCGTGATCACGGCATTGACCATTACTTGCAGAATCATGGGATTTAGTAAGTATGGCTATTTTCTCGCGGTCATAAGTAATTGGAAGTCGAAGCAATTTTCTCGGGGTCATAAGTAGTTGGAAGTTGAAGCATAGTTACCCTGAATTTTAAGGTTTCTTCACAGAAATAATTCTGCAACCCAGGTCAGAGGTTGCCCGGAAAACGGGTTATAACCCTAAAAACAACCCTAGTTACTCAGTCCCAAGATTCTCCAAGTATTCTGAACCCTAAACCCTTATAGTGCCCCTATAGATCCTTAAAGGTTGCCTAAAACTCTAAACCTTGGAGCCTGCATTCACAGTAACTGGCAAAAGTGCTGGCCAGCGGTGGCCAGTAGGATCCTACCCATCGGATCCGCCGCTGTCCAAGAGCATCAGAACCAGGCCAACTAGGATGCCCAGCAGTACCCTTATTCCTTTTTTGTAGTCCTAGGTTCCTTATAAAGTTACCCAATACCAAAAAGAGAGGCCTTTTTATTCTTAGGTTACTGGGTATCCTAGCCAATGCAAAACCCCCCAAACTCTGACGCCTTAAAGCCTTAAATCCTAAACCCTAAAACCCTAAATCCAAAAAGCTTCAAGCCTAAATAAATCCTACACCCAAACCCCAAACGCTAAGCCCCAAACCCTGAACCCCCAAACCCTAAACCCTTTTCCCCAGAGGCTCCTCATAAACTACCATTATGGAACTAGTCCCAAAGGACCATCCCTACTATGGGTTTTAGGGACCTACTTCCATAATGGTAATACAAATATGGAACGTTGTACCTTAAACCCCATAGAATCCTTAAACGAACCCTTGAAGGAACAGCAGTAAAATATTACCATAATGGTAGTATATGAGGAGCCTCTAGGCAGGAGGAGCCTCTGGGTTCCCTGAACGCCAAGGAACCCCAAACCCCAAACCCTCAGCCCTAAACCCGACACCCCCATTCCCTATAAACCCCAAAGCCCTAAAACCCCCAAACCCGAAACCCCTAAACCCTAAAACCGCTAAACCCTAAACCCCTAAACCCCTAAACCCTAAACCCTAAGCCCTAAAAGCCCTAAACCCTAAACCCAAACCCTAAACCCCTCAACCCTAACCCCTAAAAGCCCCAACCCTAAACCCTAAACCCTGAACACCACAGATCCCTTTGAAGGACCCCTTAAATATCCCTTTAAAGGACCCCTTCTAGATCCCTTTGAAGGACCCCTTCTAGATCCCTTTAAAGGACCCCTTCTAGATCCCTTTAAAGGGCCCCTTATAGATCCCTTTAAAGGAACCCTAAACCCTGAATGCCAAGGAAGAGAAGCTCGAGGTCCTCTACGGCAAGGTGTCCCAGATGGTCGAGGATCCACCGGCTCGTCCTCAAGGGTTTCGGGTTTAAGCCGAAGGGTTCCTTTAAAGGGATCTCTTAGGGTTCCTTTAAAGGGATCTATCAGGGTTCCTTTAAAGGGATCTATAGGGCTTCAGGGGTTTGGGTTTTAGGGTTCTTGGGGTGTCGTGGTTTCGGGATGAATCTTCTACAACCTGACGAGAGACATTGCTTTGTCCCACGGCCCCACCTGGTCACCAGTGGTGCTGAGTTCAGGGCTGGGTTCCTCTTTTTGGTACCCTTTTGCACTTTTCGTTTTAGGGTTCTCCTAATTAAAATAGTAGGAAAAAGGTCGTCTTCGTATGGAGGGGCTGCTGAGAAGCCTAGTGTGCGCAACAGGTTTGGACTTTCCTCTGCTTAGGTGACCTTGCTTCACTACCACCATCAAGCAAAGCCCCGAACCTCTGAATCTTAAACTTTAAGATTCCTAAACCCAGGGTTCGAATATGGAGTTCCCCGAACCCAGGGTTCGAACATAGTGGAACTCTATATTCGAACCCCGGGTTCGGGGAACTCTATATTCGAATCCTAAAACCCCGAATTAACCTGAAACTCTGAACCCAATTGAGCCTTTCTTGGAGGATCATGGGACTCAGTAAGTGTGGTTATACGTAAGTACCTTATAAATATGGTTACCCTAACAATAGCCCGAGTTACTAAGTCCCATGATCCTTTAAGTAAATCCTAAAAACCCCCTTATATAGAACCCCTATAGATCCCTTTAAAGGAGCCCCTTTAGGGAACCCTAGTTACTAAGTCCCATGATCCTTTAAGTAAGAACTATGCGAGGATTGGTGAAGCTCTCGATCTTAAACTTTAAGAATCCTAAACCCCGAATTAACCTCTACTATTTGCTTAAGAAACACCCAAAAAAACAAAAATAATAATACCTATATTACCCACCATAATATTTTTTTCCATTTTTTGGGGGGTTCTTAAGCAAATAGTAGACCTTAAACCCTGAACCCTATGGAGCCCCAAGCACTATGTGCGAGGATTGGCGCAGCCTCCTGGATGCTGCCGACCAGAAGCGTTGGCAGGCCGGTGGCCAGCCTTTTGGCCGGCGCCTAGGCCGAACTAGGCACCATGGGTCGTCTATGTGCATGTGCATATGCAGGGTTTAGGGTTTAGGCTTTAGGGTTTAGGGTTGAGGGTTTAGCATGTATGTTTTGTACATAACCCAGATGTATATATACATCATTGTACCGACGCGCACACACCTGGCGGCATACCGACCTACCGACTTTCCGACGTACAGACTTATCGACATACTGACCTACCGACCTACCGACCTACCGACCTACCGACCTACCGACCTACCGACCTACCGACCTACCGACCTGCCGACCTACCGACCTACCTGCCTGCATTCACAAGAACTCAGTCATGGCTGTACTTGCCAAGTCCCCGGGCCCTACGGGGAAAGTATGAACCACGTCTGCATATAATACACAACATACACATATGTGTATGTATACTTAGTCACGCAGATGGCCTTTCACCACACCTGAGAATCCCCACAACAAGTCCTTGATCCTTCAGGTGATTCACGTAGTATACTACTCTTCTTTTGTCGCGCTAGTGGCCTTATCGATTCAACATGGAGGGGTCTTTGTTTTGCTGTTGGGGTTTCGGAGTTTACCGTAAACCCTAAGTCCATTGTAGGCTTCGGGGTTTTTGTTTTGCTGTTGGGGTTTTCGGAGTTTACAGTTTTGTCTTTAGAGTCCGGCTTTGTGTTCTGGTTTTTCGGTTTGGGCCGGGAATCGGGCTTCTACCCTTAAGCCTACAACCAATGGGAGTTTCAGGAAATTCCTACTATTTCGGGTACTATATTAGGGTCCCCCATTTTCGGAAACCCCCAAATCCTAAACCCTAAGTGCTAAACCCGAATCCAACGGTGGTCGAGTGCGCACAGACTCCAAACACCCACTGCCCAGGTACACTCTCGTAATGCCCGCCGGTACCTCTTTCGTCGTGTACAACGATGGCGTGCTCTGCATGCAGCCAACTACCAGGACCAGATCAAAATCAAAACCCTGAACTGCAAAATCCCCAAACGTCAGAACCCCAACCAGGTATGTGGGTTTCTGGTTTTTTTTTATGATTGTTGTTTTATGACCTTCATGAAACTTGGGATGCTGGGTCGCTGGAGCGTAGGAATTAGGGTTTCGGGATTTTTGTCGACGTCTAGGGTTTAGGGTTTTGTCAGGGTTAGGGAGAAGGTTTTGGAAAGGCTGCTTGCCAACATTGGGGCACGAAAGTCTGACACAGGATCGACCTCAACCATCAAGCTCTGATACGCTACACCTCAAATTACCGGGCCTGCCGGACGGCTAGGTGCATGCACAGGGCCATTTCTATTCCGATCTGCCGAGAGCTTCCAGCCCTCCAAGTATAGTGAACCCACCGAAAGTTGAAACAGGCCACGAAACCCTAAACCCTCGCTGTTGTTTCTGCGCAGTGTGAACTTTGAACCCAAACACTGGGTGAGACTTCTGCAAGAAAAGGCACTAGCACACTTAAAAGAAAAACTAAACCCTAGAACCCCAAAGCTTCACCCTAGGAGCATGAGGATGGTCCTGTTCTAACTTTGTGATTCTCGGAAAACAGATCCCAGAACTCTGGTTTGATGCTTATTTCTTTTAGAGCGCGAGGCCTCCAAACTAAGCCCGAAAAGCTCCAAACGCCAAGAAGGGGGGTGTTTCCGAAACGCAAGATGAAGCAGGGCTTTAGACAATTGAAAATGTGGGTGGTGCGGTTTTGCTGTCGAACCCCAAACCCCTCCTAAACTGTTGAGGGTTTGGGGTTTAGAAAGCCTAAAACAGGACTACTCTGCCTCAGACGGGGGTGAAGCGAGAACGCTTCGACGCTCCACTTTCCCGGCAGCAGCTGGCGGCAATGAGCGTCAAGTCATAGGGGTCTCGGGCATAGGCTTCAGAATCTCAGAAGGGTATCATCAGGCTGCTATGAGGCCTTCACATAGGTTCTAGTTGTAAGTGTCTAGAATGCGCCAGTTCAGGATCGAATTGGATTCGGTCATACCGGAGCCACAATTCGACAACATGTTGTTATTGGAGAAGCCTCTCCATATGGGCATCATCGAAGGTATGGGTTAATTCCTGTTCTGATTATTTCGGCGTAGAAACCATGTTAAACCTGGGGTATCAGTGGAAGGGAAGGGCTGTATTTTGTAATTAGCACACTTGACATCTGTAGTACCATAGAGCAAGCCAGAGATCTATTCAGCGCGGCTCTTCGCCAGGGGGCATCGCAAACCGCACTGCGTGTAGGTATCGTTCAGGATGCACGGGGTTAGTGACAAGGGGGCGTAGAACTTGCAGCTAAAGTCAAAAGGAGTGACGCGAATTCGACTCAGATTTCTCGTTCCCCAGCAGGCCATGTCTCTATGTCTCAAAGCAGGGCCAGATTTCCTTGAGGCATTGGGATTCAGGTTCAGGCTACGAGGTGCGTTAGAGGGCTTGCCGAAGAAATGAACATCAGAGCTCACGGAGGCGTGTTTCGAGTTATTGAGGTTTTGTATGGGAGTTTTATTTGGGGGTCCTTATAATCAGGATCCTACTATTTGGGGTAATTACTAGATTAGGGTCCCCTATTTTCGGCATCTCCCACATCAATCCCATGTCCTGCTGGGGCACCAGTTTCACCCAGGTTCCCTAGTAGCACCCCCGTGACCTGTTTGTGCTTGTGTCTCAAGCTGAACACTGCAGGAATCAGGGCACCGCTATGATGATTTTTGTTATTGTTCAATATGGTGAGTCATAATCGTTTTTCTTCCGAGGTTATAGAGCCGTAGTTTTTCATGTGACTGTACCCTAAACCCTAAACCCTTGAGGGCTTACTGGGGAACTTGGTCAGCCAAACACCGAATTGTTGTCGGCTCAAGGCCTTCGGCGTGTGGAATTCTTAAACGGGCGCAGGGCTTGGGGTGTGTGGTTTGATTCAAGGCGTCGGGTCTAGAGTTTGGGGTGTAGCTTAGGGTTTAGGGTTTAGGGTTTAGAGTTTCGGGTCTAGAGTTTGGGGTGTAGTGTAGGGTTTAGAGTTTCGGGTCTAGAGTTTGGGGTGTAGGGTTTTGCGGTGTAGGGCCGAACTTTAGGGTCTATCTCTTCGAGCGAGCACATCTGTTAATTTTTCAACGCCCATAGCAATGAAAGTTAAGCCTTGAAGGCTAAACCCTACACCTGCATCATGTTCGGGTGCCTTGAGTTCCCAATACCCCTTAATTATGGAATATACCTTAAACTATAGGGGGCTTAATATTATGATTTTAGGTATATTCCTGAATTAAGGGGTATAGGTCTCCTAGCGCTTCAAGACAGTATTTCTCAGCTCTATTCCCTGAACCTTCCAGCCCGAAACATGTTCCCGCAAATCCAAGCCCAAGACCCTACAGCCCCAACGCTTTGGGGTTTTGGGTTTGAGGCCAAAGTGCCGAAGCTTTAGCCCACGAAGCCATTAAGCCCCATACGACGGGATTTCCTAGTACTACCCCTCAGAGGTTCCTGATTGTGTTCTTATTGTACAATTTTGCTCCAGTCGCTATTCTGATTAGCAAGGCCCCACAATATAGATAAATAAATAAATAAATAAACAAATGAATAAATAAATAAATATATATATATATATATATGTATATATATATATAAAGTCCCCGATCAACCCAAGCCGATAACTGTGGTAGGGCCTGGAGCTTTCAGGGTTCATTTGTTGCAGGGTTCACAGTTTGGGGTTCCAGTTGTGGGTTTAGGAGTTTAGGGTTCACCATAACCTACAGGATTTAGGGTTTAGGGTTTACTTAGGGTTTAGGGTTTATGTTTTAGGGTTTCGGGTTTAGGTTTACCTACACTTCAAGGATCATGGGACTTAGTGACTAGGGTTATTATTAAGGCAACTATACTTATGATTACATATAACCCCAATCAAGGGACTTATAACCATACTTACTAAGTCCCATGATCCTCCAAGTAACCTACAAGCCCTTCGAGCAAAGCCTTACACCCTATACCCTGACTACACCCTAAACCCTACACCCTCAAGCCCTACACCCCCAACCCAGAGAGCCCAATACCCCTTAAGTAAGGAATCTGGCTTAAATTAGATAGGGCTTCATATTATGATCTAAGCTATATTCCTTAATTAAGGGGTATTGGGTTCTCTGGGAACCCTAAACCTCTAAACCCCTAAACCCCAAACCCTAAACCCCTAAACCCCCTCAACCCCTCAACCCCAAGCAGGAGCGCGCCATCGTGACCAAGCACGTCTTGATCAATGAGACGCAAAGCCATGAGCCGATCTCAGCTTCGGGCTCTTAGGCTTTTAGGGTTTTAGGGTTTTAAGGGTTTTTGGGTTTTATGCTTTTAGGGGTTTTAGGGGTTTTTGGGTTTTAGGCTTTTAGGGTTTTAGGGTTTTAGGGGTTTTTGGGTTTTAGGCTTTTAGGGTAAGTTTAGGGGTTTTAGGGTTTTAGGCTTTTAGGGTTTAGGGTTCAGGGTTTTAGGGTTTTAGGCTTTTAGAGTTTTAGGGTTTTAGGGGTTTTAGGGGTTTTAGGCTTTAGGGTTTTAGGTTTTGGGGTTTTAGGGCTTTAGGGTTTTAGGGGTTTTAGGCTTTAGGGTTTTAGGGTTGTAGGGTTTTAGGGTTAAGGGTTTCAGGGTTTTAGGGGTTTAGGGTTTTAGGGTTTAGGGTTTTAGGGTTTGAGGTTTAGGCTTTAGGGTTTGAGGTTTAGGGTTTAGGGCTTGAGGTTCAGGGCGTAGGGTTTGACGTTTAGGGTGTAGGGTTTCGGGCTTTGGAGGAGCTCTTGGCTCAATTCAGAATTTTTATGAGGGCTCCTAGGTTTTATAGCAGGTTTCTTCTAGGATTTTAGGGTTTAGGGTTTAGGGTTTGTGCAGGGATTCTATAAAGGATCCAAAGGGGTTTAGGGTTCAGAGTTTCACGTGTAATATACAGGGCTTCAGGTCTACGCTCTAATGGTCTAAGGCTAAAGTTCAGGGCTTGGTGTCTAGAGTTTGTGGTTTAATCAAGGTTTCCAAGTCCAGGATTTACAGAAATGTCCAAGAGGTTTGAACGTCACGACCCCCGAATTTCATTGTCCTGTGTTCAAGATCCGCACGATGATCTACACAAGTTCACCTACTTGCAAGATCAGTGCTCCAGTCATTGATGCGCCAGTGGGACTGCACTCATCGAAGCAAAATTGGGCTGTGGGTAAGCAAATCCGATTGTGTTGCTCATAACTGTGACACTTTTATCGTCAGCTACACCCTAAACAGTATCTTGCCCTGCTAAACACTGACAAAATCCTGTGTAACCCTGTGGCCCCACAGAGCCCTATGCCGCCTCCAAATCAGCACCCTGCACCCTGTCGTAAGCATTTGGGTTTGCAGTGGAGGCTAGTTGTGGGGCATTGAGACTCCCAAATCCAACCAGTAGATCATCAAGTAAACCCTAAACCCTAAATCCTAAACCCTTAGTACATGGATCCCGCATGGTTTTCAGCAATATTGACACACTGGGTCTCATGCTGAGGCAGGGGGTGGTTGACCCCGAGATCTACTGGGGACAAGTAGTCATGCACTGGGGCAAGAAGCGGCTCCCTGCCCTCGCTCTCGCCGTCACTCAGCGGCTAGTCAGGCTGCATGAGCGAAGTTGGCGTGATAATTTCATGCTTACGCTGTCTGCCTCCTGAGTTGAGCTTCTTGCTGTCCGTTTGGGAGAGTATGTGCGAAGTGGAGCAAAGCTTTGCAGTGCAGCGCATGTTCAGCTCTGAGCGCAAGGCGAGAACCTCGAACGTCCTCGTTCGCGCCCTGTTGAAGGTACCCTGAAACCCAATCCCCAAAACCCTAAACCCTAAAACCCGATCCACTGCGACACAGACTCTAAAAGCCCCAAGCCTCGACCTTAGGCGCGAAACCCTGAACGCTTAACCAGAAACCCGCATCACACTCGACCGTTGAGGGTTTAGGGTTTACTGTTTAGGGGACCTTCTTGATTCCAGGCCTTGCAAAGCACAGGGCCCGAGCACGTTCTTGCTCAGATATTGGTAAGGTTTCGGCAGTTTCCTAAATTCCACTATGGCTTTTAAAGGGCTGCGGGAGTGCGACCTCAGACTTCGCGATCCAAACCCTATAAATCCAAAACCCGTGCATCTAGCCTTTTGAGCCTGAAACTGTCCCCACCTTAGTCAATCAATCCCAAATTTCTGCAGGGCCCCGGAAGATTCTATACTAAGGGGTACGTTTAGGGTTTAGGGCTTTAGGGTTTAGGGCTTCGGGCATAGCTTGGGATCCTACAAATAAGGGTGATGGCAAGCTTCAACTCCCAAATCCTGAACTACTCTTAAGCTCTATTCCGCAACCCGGAAGCTGAAACCGCATACATCCTGACTCTTACATATATGTATAGGGTTTGGGGTTTATGGTGTATGGTTTAGGGTTTGGGGTTTATGGTTTAGGGTTGAAGCCAAAACTCAAGCCTCATAAACCTACCAATACCTCGAAGAAATTCAACGACACGCTTCACAGCCGTCTACAGCCCATATAAGCGCCTCAACCCGACAGATCCCACCAACAAAGTTGCGGCCCAGATGTGCCGTGAAGTGGCGGCAGCCTGCCTGGAGCTGTCGGACCTCTCTTGTTGTTTTTTTGGGGGCTTCTAGGAGGGGTCTATGGGGTTTATCGTGTTTTGGGTCTTCGGTCATTACCCTAGGCCCTAAAAACCGCTAAACCCTAAACCCCTATAGCCCCTAAACCCCGAAACCCCCAAACCCTAAAACCCTTAATCCACTAAGCCCCTAAACCCTAAACCCCTAAACCCCAAAACCCTAAGCGAATAAGGTTCCACCAGGCTTCTAGAAAACTCAGGACCCAGACCTTCCAAAATCCTTTACTGAAGGAATATACCTTAAA